AGAAATGTTTACCAATAATTTGCAGACATATGCATGCTATGTCATCAACACTGCATTTCATAAACAACTATTTTCATCCACACTGCAAGGATCTTAATATTATTGTGTGGCTGAATTAAGTGAGCATATGCATTGTGGGAAGTAGCACAACTGCTGAAAAGTAATTGGAAAAACTGGAAAGGTAACTGGAAAAATTGCATCAGACATTATGAAGACCTTTCTTTCTTTCTTGAATCTCCATTGCTGCACTCATTTCTTTTTCCACTTCTGTATCTCTCTCCATTTTTACCCTCTGTCTTCCATGAGTATCTCATCTGAAGTATCTCTCTACCTGATTCATTTCGTCCTTCCTCTAGCTAGGTTCAATTTACATTCTGTGATTCAATGCTTCCCTAGGAATTTGAAATTTGCAAGAATCTGAGAAACTGTAGTTCTGACAGTAAGGAGCATGTCAGCTTCAGTCAGTCTGGAAAAAGTCTGACAGATTCTCTGCTGGAGCTAAGCCAGCAAAGTATCTGGCCCAATACTGTCTTCTGTATCAGCACCTGAGACATAGAACTGAATTGGGGTGTTACAATACAATGACTCAGAGAGAGGTGGATTAATAAACACCTAACTCAAACACTGCTTTCACTTTCCCATCTCCATGTGTTTTTTGCTCTTCATATTCATTATTCCTATTTCCATGGGGCTTTGCAGTTCTTCACTGTTGTGTCTTTGAGCTCTGATGTCCCTAAAAACTTAATTTTACAAAACATCATTTGCAAGGTTTTTAAACAGCTTCAGCTTCCACTGAGGTCAGCTGGAATCTAGGACAATCAGAATTCAGTCCTGAAGTTGTAACAATTCCTCCATTTCTGGGCTGTAGGGTATGCACAACCAGAGGTCTGACTAGTCCAGAGATACCCCTGAATACTGCATCTGTGCTTGCACTTAATGTGCAATTGGTGGATGCTGCTAATAACATGGAGCAAGTACCCCTCAGTAAACCTGTTAAGTTAAGTAGCATGTGTATGCCATCAAATGTGAAGGGATTTAAAGATTGATATACACTGGCAGTCAGAAACGCACAGTGCAATTTAAAAGAAAAGCTACAAGAAGCAGCCAGGCAGTTTGAAAAGCAGAAGTCAGTCTTGTGGTCATTTAATCCTAATTTATAGATGTTTATGTGAATTGGTTGCAGAGGCCTGAATGTAATACTGCCAATTATCTTAAAAACCTAGGGTGCAGTTGCCAATTAAAACAGATACAGCTGTTAATAAATATTCATTCTTAGATACGAATTTAATAAATATTCATTCTTAGATGCGAGTTCTGTATTACTGCACATAATCTCCAGACAAAGATGTAATATGATCTTTCATAGCATAACTCTTGCAATCGTGAATATTATCACGCCAACGCAGCTATTATACAAAAGAGTTATTACATAATGTGATATAACATTACAATATGCGAGCAGAAGTTGATGCAACGTCAGCCCTACTCTGAGTTCCTCTGTTTTTTCTGGTTCTATTGTTAAACCTTAAAGTCCTTAACATGCGCATGGACGTGTGCATGCATGTTTAATTATACAAATGCACTGCTGGTTATGTCTCTAGTTTATTACATTATTGGATTTAGTAACCAACAATGGTTTGAAAAACTAACATAAGCAGAATCACAGCTGTTCAGAATTTTTGCACCTGTACCCTGAATCGTGAATAGGGAATAATCTAATTTTAATGTGCACAGGAAATATGTGGGCTTACTGTTCACTACATATGTTCTACAGTCTAGCTCCAACTGTTAGGGTCTGGATCAGCAGTTCTTCCAGTAACAACTGCTACCCATTGAAGAAGAGAACTCATGAATCAAGGAGGTTTCATTTAAGTAATTTTCCCAAAAAATTACATTTATTTTGTTATAAAGCAGATTCTATGGTGATCATAAAATGTTCTTATAGCATTCTTTATAACAAATAGGAAAAATGCTGTTTATATGTGAGAAAAATACATTACTTAACGCTTTGCCGTGTTGGAAATGTTATAGGCTGAGAGCACCTGAGATTCTAGTTTGGGGTTTTCTATCAACTCACAGAGAACCATGTTACTACATTCATGCAGAAAATCTAAAGGAAATAGAGCCAATAAGGATCATAAATTAGACTTTTCAGATATTTGATATCAGAAATAAACTCTAAAACCATGTTGCAACTTAATAAATTTTGAAAAATCTTGACCTTGTTTTCTGCTGACAAGCCTGCATAACACTTTACTGTATTTCTGGCAGGACAGCCCTACGATGTCAGCCTGACATCTGAAGAAGTGACTGTTGTGCCTAACAATTCCTTTCTTCTTCCTGAAACTGAATTTCACATATTAACATTCATTTTCATTGAAGATTATCAAATTCCAATACACAGGGATTAGAACAAGTGCACACAAAGGGAATGATCCAAACCATAGATGGAGGCAAAGGAAAGACTTCTATTAATTTCAGCAGGCTTTGAATCAGAAACCAGTAAATTTATAAATCAAAAACTACAAGGTCTCAAATGTCATACTTTAGAATTTACAACACAGTCAGGGAAAGGAGCATGTGTAGGTACATGTACATATATAAATGTATATATGCAAGAGCAATTATATAATGGTTGAAACATTTTTTTATTGGAATGAGACTAGGATAAGTGAATTTATGCACCAGTAATAAATCAAGTTACCCAAAAGAAATGCTAATAAAACCTGTATTCCACTGCATGCTATCACAGATTTTGTTTACCAAATATTTTACATTTAGAAATCACCCACATTTTCCCATTCCCCCTCCCCGCCCCACCTCCCATAAAGTTAGCTTTATTACCATAAAACCAACTACAGGCCTTAGAGACAAAACTCTAATGAATACATTTAAACTTCTAAATAAATAATATATATTCCAAGATAATATATATTCCAAGTTGTATAATATAACTAATTAAAGGTAAATATGTTGCATCCCATCAGCGTTAGAAGTAGTGTTAAATACTACTCACGAGGCAGATACAAGTGCCCCAATGGAATAAGGAAGATATTCATACTCCAAATAAACTATGATATATTTTGCTTTTAAACTAACAATGCAATTGATCATGAAGACAGAGTGAGATAATATAATACACAGAAGATATTTAAGAATTCTGATCTTGTGTTTGTTAGCTCTGATTCAATTTTCTAAACCCAGATTCTTCATTCAATACAATTTAAGATTGCACATGCTTCTTACCAGAGCATACCACTTACCATAAGTAGTCCCACTAAAATCAATTGAATCACTCACATTAGAAAGCCCAATGTCCTGTTCCTAAGTATCTGCAGTAATTTGGTTAGAGGACTCAGTTAGGTCCATTGATGAAAATTAAAATCTAGCAAGAACTGCAAGGTTTAAGCTCTCACTCTCAAGCTGCTCTCAGTTTGCAAACAATTTTCACAAATTTGAGAATTTTCCAGGTGATCATTCAGCTTGTATATTAGCTCATCCTCATATATTTTTCCTCTAGGCACCAAGGTCTGCCCCTGTTTGTGGGTGGGTGTAGATTTTGCCATCTGTGCATCAGTACTCTCCCCCATGCATTGCACAGAAAAAGTAACTCTTACTTTGTTTGCATGTGACAGATACTGTAAATGTTATGACTGAGTCTAAATGATCCTTTCCCTAAAACCACATACAAAATAAAATAGTGCTCATTTGTAGGACTGAAATACTGCAGTGACCTAATTTGTACATCAACTATCAGATAAACTGCAGACTTTCAGAAAAGTTACAGATTTTCTTTATGTAAGCCTAAGGCAGAGGGTTTTAGACCTATTGATAAACTCAGATTATCTAAGTGAATCGCATTCTTTTCCTCATTTCCTATGGAATAAATTGTGGTTGGTTTGGCAAAAATTATTTTTTGTGTCTAAGAGTAAGGAAATGTTGCTAACCTTATGTATGGCATGACTACAAACTACTGTTCATTTTATATGGTGACTGGGGAGGCACCATAACCTCAGTCACATAACCTTGGGTAAGGGAGGTTGGACACAGCAACTTAGGGAAAGAAAGTGGTTTCTAGTCAGGAGGAGCAGATGCCTGGTCACAGGGTATCTCAGTAATACTTTTTTCCTGCCATTATATTCCCTCCATCACATAACAGCATCATTGAAATCCTAGGTCTGACATCCTAGTGGGCAGACAGCTGCAATAGTGCTAAATAAAGCCTCAATAAGGAGCCCGTTTTTATCCAGTACTCAAAATATTAAATCATTATAGCTGGTAGGATCTCACCTTACCGATTTAGGACCTAGATGCCTTGTTCCAGGAGGGGACCCACCCTCAGACCTTGCCATTCAATAATAAGCAAATGTATCGATACAGTGATAACAGAAAAGAAACTATACAAACAATCAAGTGCATCTATATATCTACCAATTCTAGGGCTGTCATCAGAGTCAAGAAACATCTGGCCAGGATGCAGGCTTCACTCTGAGGCTCTCTCTCAGGTGCCAGATGTCAGCATGTCAGCAGCCTGGAGGTGGGATGCCAAGGCCCACACCCCACCTCCAGTGGGGTGGATGAGAGGGGCTGGTGATGGGCCCTCTGTCAATGGTTGCCTCATGGACCCCTCCCGGAGGACAGGGACCTCTCGGCGAAGAGGACAAGGAGGAGCTGGGCAGCGGGCCCTTTGTTACTCTCAAGTCTGTTGTATTCTCCTTCCCTCCGGATGACTCCTGACGACTCTCCATCCATGACTGTCGCTGATGGGTCTCTCCGTGTTCATCACACCGCCCATGTTCTGTTCCATCAGTAAACTCTAAACTCATCACATGCACACCCTTCCCCAAACAGGGATCTCAGGGCCCCCTTGTGAGCTGGTGCCACCTCATTTCATTTTATGGAGCAGTGTGGTACATGCCCCCAGTTTCTCAGACTATGTACATATATCCATTGGCCTTGTTGTGTTAGATGGCCTGTCTGCTTCTGAAGGTCCAAAACACTGTGACAGAGACCCAGGCTTTTAGAAGTCAATTAACCCCTGCTGCCTATCATGAACCATTCTAATGAATATAGGTACGTATCAGCCAATTCCCAAAAAGCAAGCCTTTAAATACCATTCTTAAGCCATCACTCTTGAGCTGCCATTGTGTTGCAGCAAGAGGTTACAGAAGTGATGGCTCTTCACTGACGCTGCAGAAAGCAACAACAGAGCAGAGTAAACTAAGGATTTTTATAGAGCACTTAAGAGTTGAAATCACTTGTAAAGTGAAGATATCTTAAAAAAAAAAAAAAAAAAAAAACCTGAACTAGCCCAGAGATAGCATCATCCTCACTAGAGGCAGCAGTACAGTGAGCATGACGGAAAGACAGTGGAGATGGTTCAAAGGCATCCAAGTAGCATTATCCCCAGGGAAATGGAGACAGACATGATCTACCTGCCTTTCCTGAATTTTGGGACTTCACAAACTCCTGCCACCAGTCACCAGAGAAAAAGGACAGGGAAGAAACACTAAGCATAGGACTACTGGCAAAGATACTATCAGGGTGAGTGCTTCTCTTAGTATTTTTACAAATAGCCTCTTGATTTGATGCTGTTGTGTTTTCTCAAATTAAAACTATTTTCCCTTCTCCTTAATTAGGTTTCCTGCATTTTAAATGCAGGTCTTAATACTTGTGAGTGGAAAAGTACTGCTGATCCTAGGCTCCCGTGGGAAGTATTTAGTTCATCACAGATCTCCGATAAGCGTGCTTGTTAACTTTACAACGGTCCCCTAGTTGTTTGAGCCCGGCCCTTGTTGCTGCCAACACTACCTGACAGATGGGTAGCATGTAGAGCTAGCAATTTTTCTTTCCTCCTGATCCAAAAATGATGTGTCACAGCCTCTCCGATTTTTCTGAGTGTTTTTTCTAGGTTCACTACTTTGTCTGGTTCCTCACATCATTTAAAGCAGTTTTCCTGGCTCTGCGCAACTTCCACCTGGTAACGTAAGTAGCACAGCTTGGGGAATCTATCCACGTACAGCTTATAAATTCTGCCTGACATTAGGAACCTAAAATTTCTGCACCTGGCCAAGGGTTAATAAGTCTACCATCCATTAAACAGAGAAGCTTTGGAGAAAGAAATGGCTCTTGCCAGGGGGAATAGTTAAGCAGCCCATCACCTGATGAGGGACTCACCTGACAAGGGTAATCAAAGGGCCCCCTTGCCAAAGGGGATCATGGAGTCTGTGTTACCAGCTGTTAAAAGCAGGGCGGCCCCGACTCCAGGGTTTCCCTTATTTAAAGAATTTATGAGCTACAAAACACCCCAACCCAAGCCAGAAGGAGCACTCACAAGTAGTATAGGAACCGAGACAGGGAAATGGTGCTATATTGTTTTATCTAGATTTTTTGTAGAAAACCTTTACAAAACTGGCAAGCCTAGATATTTCACTGAAAGATGTCCTTGTAAGGTATGCTGTAAACCCAGGATGTGCACAAAGGGAGAGGGAGTGCTTAGACTACCAAGAAGTCTGGAGAGTCAGCACAGGTCCCCGGAGCCCTGGGCAGCAGGTCATGAGGCCCTACTTCTGGAAAGGGAGAGGAAATGGAGAGACTCTGCCTAGGAAGCATGCAAAAGAAGCCAAGGAAAAGATGCTAGAACCAAAATACAGCATCTTATAAGCGTCAAGTGAGAAGTAGCTCCATTAGGAATGTGACAATAATTAAAATGTCTTTAACATTTGACTCCCATTATGCACTTCCACATACCTCTGCCCTTTTACCCAAAATAAGTATTTGCCACCTAAGTCCTAAAACACTGACCAACTGCTTTCCTTTTGCTACCATAAAAACTGCAAACCAGCAGAAAAGCAAAACAGAGAACAAGGAGCTCAGGCCAAGGAGCTCTGGTAGCAGCTGGTACCAGGGATAAGCTGCTAGGGAAAATCTTTGCTTAAGGCAGACCAACTGCATGGCCTATACATGTGGGAACACATCCCACTGGCATTCCCCCAGTTAATAGTTCTGTAGTCCAAAATGGCATAACACAATCCAATGCCTGGAAGCTGAAGCTATTCAAACTCAGATCAGAAATAAGGTGCAAGTTTGTTTTTTTTTAAATTACTGAGGGAAATTACACTCTGGAACAAATTTGGATGGACATGGCATATCCCTCCTTATTCACATGCTTTAAGTTGACACCAGTCATTTTTCTAAATGGAACGTATGGGCTTAGTATGCTATTGGGTACGGCTTCTCACGAGGTCGAAGTAGATGAGCATACTGGTGCCTTTTCATCAAGTCAGAGCATCTATGATCCTACATAAGCGTAGCTATCATAGTTCTGTAATCAAATCCCTAGAAGAAAGACCCAGTGAAGGCACTAACTTAAGAAAGGACCAAATCCAGCTATTGTAAGAGACAAGGAAGATGGAGATGGCAGGATTTAGATAGTGTTTTCAGAGTACAGTACAGTACAGTACAGTACATGTTTTAGACTATCACTAATAATAATGCTACAGTAATGCCCTCCTGTTGAGCAAACACCTGGAAATCTAACATAAATAATATAGTGATAATATAAGATATTAGGTTATTTGTGCTGACTGTCACTCACAGTAAGGTGTGATCTTACTTTCTCTCCTAATGAGCATCTCAGGCAAAGTTTTTTCTGCATTTGATATGGAAATGGCTGCTTTCACTGGGCAAAAAGCTTTTTTTTACCATCTGGTGCATGTTTGGGAAATAGCTAAAAACTTTATTGATCATATGTGTCCATAGATCAAATTCTGCCCTTTTAGACTCCAATCAGCGCAGCAGATACTGGCTTTTCCAAGTTAAAAACAAAAGATGAGCACCTTTACTATCTGTCATGCTATGGCAACATAGAAAGTGACTTATTTGAGAGTATGTAAGATCATCAGGAATTATTTACCCACCGTACAATTCAATTGCCTTATTACAGTAATAAGTGTAACACTAGCTGGAGTCTGACATGTACAATAAAGAAACACACAACTGAAGAAATGTGAATTGGATTTACAGCAGTATCTTCACTATTAGTGAGGTTGTCTATTAGCCCAGTACCATGGCTAACAGAGATGTTGACAGATTGATTCCTGGGAAATGTTCTCTCTAATTGGGTATTATTGACAAAAGAATAACTTGTATAATAAAACACTGGCTGCCAAGTGGAGGTGACTGCAATACTAATACGTTGTGCAAAGGCAGTTTGTGCCATGGCCAATATAACAAATTCAAACACTATTCATAACGCCCCAAAAATCGCCAGCAGCAGAGACAAAGTGCACAGGCAGAAAACTGTCTTCAATTCACTGTAGAGAAATGTGAGATAAATATTCAAGAATGGAAAAGAGACAATTGCTTCATTATCTAAGTAGCGACCCAAACAGTTCATTTGTAAATAAACAGGATTTTGGCTACAAAAACTACAAAGTCCTGTCTATTTGATTCCTTCTGTGCTCAAGCAGCAGAGGTTTCCTTTACGTATGGTTCCAAGCTTTCTTCACCCAGCACTTGGCTTTTTTCTCCCCCAATGGCCCCAAATAATGTGTTCTGCAGTGCCCAAAGCTCTTGCTTTTTCTGTGCCGTTTCTCTTTGCTTTTCTCTCCCAAATCAGAGACAGGCATTCACTGGTGGCACTAAGAACTTCTGGCCAATTTGCAGCATCACAAAGGCATGGCAAGAAGCCTGCATTCGGACATTCAAGTGCCAGTAATATCATAAAAGTGATAGGGATTCACAGACTTAAGAGCCAGAGAGTTGATTGGGATCATCTAATCTAACATTCTGTGCAACAGGCCATAGGTTTTCACTAAATGATTCATATGACATGGCCATAACTTTTGCTTAACCTAGATCGTGTTTTAATGTAATACAGATTCCACTACAGACCTCTGCAGGGGTAGACCCAG